ATCACAAAATCAATTTAAAGTATTAAGATCATCTGTAAAAGGAGAATAAGAAACAAGAGAATAGAAAAATCAGAGCACATCAAATATACTAAGGGTGAGCTTTGCTTCATATGTATGAATATAGTATAAGCTGTATTTCTTTCTTTCATAGTTAAAAGATCTAAAAACACTGATTTAATAAAACAGATAAGGATTTCACTATTAGAATTATAACCATATCAAAATTGATGACCCTTAACTATGACAGAATAACAGTATTTAGGTAAGAACAGAGGAAAAGATCATTTTGTTATGGTAAAACTCTAGAAACCACCTATTTAGAAAGGTGTACAGAGATTCCTGGTATAAAGCAAATATATTTTAGTTGTGAGGCCTTCACTTCAAATGTACATCAGAAATCTCATCATGCTAAAAGCAGAAAGGCTGCATGTGAACAATTCCTGAGTGTTCTTGCTGACAATTTCCTAATTTTGAAATCAGAGAAGTCGTAAGTCTTTGAATCATAAAATATGGATTTGAAAGAGACCAGAGATTTAATTTACCCTGTATGGGCTAAACTGGGTCCCCCAAAATTTGTATGTTGAAGCCCTAACCCCCAGAATCTCAGAATGTACTATATTTGGAGATAGGGCCTTTAAAGAGGTAATTAAGTTACAATAGGGTCATTAGGGTAAGCCCTAATCCCAATATGAGTAGTGTCCTTACAAGAAGAAGAGGTTATGACAGACAACACACAGAACAAGGGGCAACCATGTGAGGACACAGCAACAAGGCAGCCATCTGCAACTCAAGGAGAGAGGCCTCAGAAGAAACCAACCTGCCAACACCTTGATCTTGGACTTCTAGCTTCCAGAACTACGAGAAAATGAATTTCTGTTGTTTAAGCCACCCAGTCTGTGATATTCTGTTATAGCAGACAAAGCAAACTAATACACACCCTTATATTCATAAATGAACAACCTCTGTTTAGATTACCTAAATACTCTTGTGGCTAATTTATGCAAAGTTAAACAGATTAAAACTTGTCAGCAATATAAAAATTGGGCAGTGATAGTAAAATGGGAAGAAACACCAGCAGCCATTGGTTCTAGAAATCATAATAGTAAAAGAAGAGTAAAAAAGCAGGCTGATATGAGGAGAACAAGTTTCAAAAATCCAGACTCATGAGACAGGCATGAAAGCAATGTCAGATACCTTAGAAGGGACCATAGCTCAAAAGAGAAAGAAGCCTTGACTATAAAGTTCAATTCTAGCCACATAACTTCAAAAGTTCAAAAGAAGAGAAAAAGGAAAGGCACCAAAGAAACCAACGTGGCAGCACAGGGAGTTGTCTAATTAACTTGGTTTTGAATAGGACACTTGTAGAAATAAGAAAAGTAGTCTATCATCCAGTCAGAAAGACTAAAGACACAGGATAATATATACGTAAAAAATACTAGGGGGAAGAAGCTTCCTATAGTAAGAATAAGCTTCAAGCTTTGAGCTGATGATAGAATATAAATAAATAACAGGGTAGGTAGCACAGGAAGACTCAACTTTCATTTACTTTCATCAAGAATAATTTCCAATCCTTACACAAGACAGATGATGCTATAAAGACAATATCTAGCTACTCTGAGACAGAATGGTATAGGAGAAAGAGCACAGGTATCAGAGTCAAATGTACTTGGGTTTATTTTTTTTTATTTATTTTTTTGTGTGTGAGGAAGATCAGTCCTGTGCTAACATCTGCCAATCCTCCTCTTTTTTTTTGCTGAGGAAGACTGCCCCTGGGCTAACATCCGTGCCCATCTTCCTCCACTTTATATGGGATGCCGCCACAGCATGGCTTGCCAAGCAGGTGCGTCGGTGCGTGCCCGGGATCCAAACCAGTGAACCCTGGGCCGCCGCAGCGCAGTGCATGCACTTAACCGCTTGCGCCACCGGGCAGGCCCCTCTACCTGGGTTTAAATCCCAGCATTGTCGCTTATTGGAGAGGAAGTAGTGCATAGTAGTTAATTAAGAGTGTAAGCTCTGAAATCAGGCTCTCTGGATTTCAATTTCAGTGTTGCTACTTAAAGCTAAGTAAATCTGCACAAGTTATTTAACCTGCCTGTGCCTCCGTTTCCTCATCTGTAATACAGAGAGAAGAGCACCTACTTCATACAGTTTGTAAGGCTTAAAGAAGTTCTTACACTTAAAGCACTGAGAACACTGCATGGCACGTAGTAACTGCTCAATAACTGTTAGTAACTGTTGTTGTATTTGTTCTTTATTGGGCAAGCTATTTCTTATAATTATTGTTGCTGCTATTATTGACATTGTGCAAGTTACCTAAATTCACTAAGCCTCAGTTTTCTCTTCTGTAAAATATCAAAAGATGGTTATAAGGATTAAGGAGACACTGGGTATAAAGCACCTACTAGATACTCAATAAACATTAAGTGCCATCCCCTACCCAAATTTTGAAAAAGACAATGATGTTGTATTTAAGATACTGAACATAATAAGCAAGCATTGTACAGATATTCAGTAAAATTTTAGAATATATTATCAAGAAAATGGCTTAATGACAAATGTAGATAAGAAAGAAATAACAATTAGAAGCCAGAATAAGCTCATTAGGAATTGGGGCCGGCCCCGTGGCACAGTGGTTAAGTTCTGCGCGCTCCGCTTTGGTGGCCCTGGTTCACAGGTTAGGATCTCAGGCAAGGACCTACTCTACTCATCAGCCATGCTGTCGAGGCATCCCACATACAAAATAGAGGAAGACTGGCATGATGTTAGCTCAGGGCTAATCTTCCTCAGCAAAAAAATAAATAAATAAAAATTTTTTTTAAAAAAGGAAGAATAAATGACAAGCTAACCTTTTAATTTACTTCTAACATAGGGGTAGTAGACTAGGAAAAGAAACAGTGTACCTTGATTTCAGTGAGGCATTCAAATAAATATTAATCTTCATAATAATCTTATAGACTACAATAAAGAAATCTGGGATGAATAACAGTACAATTAAATGAATTTGTGGCTGCAGGAAAAATTTTGCCCCAAAATATTAATTAATGAGTAAGACATTAGTCTGCAAACAGCTTTCTAGTGGCCCTATCCTATTTAACATCTTGGAGTAAGTAAGAATTAATGAAAAATCCTAGATTTTGGTTTTAAAAAAGAAAGAACGAGGGGCCACCCTGGTGACGTAGCAATTAAGTGCACACACTCTGCTGTGGTGGCCTGGGGTTTGCAGGTTCGGATCCCAGGTATGTAACGACTCACTGCTTGTCGAGCCATGCTGTGGCAGTGTCCCATATAAAGTAGATAAAGATGGGCACAGATGTTAGTCCAGGGCCAATCTTTCTCAGCAAAAAAAAGAGGAGGATTGGCAACTGATGTTAGCTCAGGGCTAATCTTCCTCACAAAGAAAGACAGAAAAAGAAAGAAATTTGACAGCAATTTGTATAGAAAAACCCTGAGGGTTTCAGTTGACATGGGCAAAAATTTGCTGACCAACAAAGATGGATCTAATACTAAAGGAGAAAACAAAAGCATATGATATGATATACAATATAATGCCACATTAATAGAAAAATGTCCAGATCAAAGGAAGCAAATACGAACAGACGTCAGAAGACACAGGAAAAACCTATCTTCACTTCTGGTTGTTACCTTTCATGAACAACAGAAAAGGGTGACCAAGACAGTGATCTGTATCATATACTGTCGTATAATGAAAACTAGAAATATTTAGCCTTGATAGTGATTGAGGGTTTGCACTTGCATATGCAAAAAAAAAGAGAGAGAGAGAAAGTAAAGGGTTGATATATTTTCCTTAAGATGACAAAGAACTTGACAACATTTAGAGTTTTTCAGAGAATGAACTAACACATAGTAATGCTATCATCAACAGAGGCTGAAGACAACCCATCAGAAATTTAGAGATTCAGGAAATCATGTTTCTGGAAGGAATCTGATCTTTGTTATACAATAACACTAGAATACTTCTAGGTTTATATAAATTAACTCAAAGAAACTTCTTAAAAATTCTAATTATTTAAAATTAACAACAGAAATTTTACTTATATTATTAGAAAAACAAAAAATAAAACCACCAAAATAAAAAGAAAAACTCTACAAACAGAATACTTCTAAATCTTGGCCAATGGTTCACAATAACTAGGCTTTGTTAGTCCTATGATGACAAAATCTACCACAATGAACGGGTCACCACAGTCATTTATTTTTCTACTTATCAAAGTGAGAAACTTACATAATGAAAAATTTCTCATATATATTATAATCCCAAGAAGGAACACTAGTATTAGTGTTAGTTAATTAGTAAACAGTGATAACAAAATCTACATACAATGAATAACACTATCCATTTATAGAGTATATTAAAATTTCCCAAACTGCTTTTCCAGCTGTTTGCCATCTAATCTGAAAACAACTCTGAGGTAGACAAAGCAGTTGGGATCAGTCCCATTTTACTTCCTGAGGCTCAGAGGGGTAAACAACTTTCCTCAGGTCACTCAACTTGGTCCAGAGTATGAATCTGGAGCATACAACTCCTGGTCAGTGTCCATTACTTTTTTAATAATTTGTTTTCTCTTTAATCAAGTAATATATTTTCATTGTACTAATGTTAGAATTCAGATAGATAAATCATCTCCCTCATTAGACAATGTATTATTAACAAGAAACCTTAACTTTTCTTTGAAATGAAAAAAAAAAAAGAAGTAAAATAACAACTCAAGTAAAAGAATAAGGAGAAATTTCTTTTACTTCCCATAATACTATGCTGAAAAAACAGAAGGCTAAGTGGGTATCAGTTAAGCAGAATAAATAATGTTTTCTTGAACGGCCATTAAATATTTTTCAAGTTAATTCTCTTAAAATAACATCAAAATGTAGACATTCCCTTAAAGTGGGCTCTGGCAGTATTAGACTTCTCATCTTTATACGCTTAAAGAAAACAACCTAAACATCACTTTTAATGATATAAGTACGAGGAGTAAAACCATTACCTTGGGTGTGCTTCCTTTAATGAATTTTTTAATTGACGACAACAAGCCGGTTTCATTCTTCGGTGGTTTTTCTCCTCCTGAAGGCAGGCTATCATCAACCTCTGAATATTTCCTCTTTGCTCTGGCAGTGCGCTGTGTTTGGATTTGATTTGATTGCTGAGAAGCCTTCCGTGTTCTCAGCCTCATCTTTTATGGATGCCACATGTAAAACTATAAGAGAAAAATAACAAACATTATTAATTAAACCTAGTGTACCCATATGTACCCAGCTTATATAATAAAAATCTCTTCGTTAAAAAAAAGTCCAGGTCTCCAGGAGACCGAAATAAGAAACTAACATTTTAAGCGAAAGACATTGTGCTTTGAACTTTATATACATTATCCCAAGTAACCTTCCCAACAACTTCTGAAATATTATATCCTATGATCTAATAAAGTTTGGAGTAATACCAAAGAGTATCCATTCTCTTTCCACAGAACTATGCTGCCTCTACCCATGCCAGCGTTATCACTTATTTACTCATGCATTCAACAAATATTTATTGAATAATAAATATTTACCACTTACCACATTTGAAGCACTGGGCTAGGTGAGCACCTAGCAAACAGTAAACAAGATAGGGAAGGTTTCTGCCCTCCGGAGCTCACAACATAGTGGAAAGAACCCTCAGTCAATGAATGAATGAATTCCATGAGCATGATTCTAATAATCAACAATCATACAAGTGTAACAAGAGCGGTTGGATCATTTTGTGGGATTCAATCTTACCACACATAATGATACTTTAAAAACTGAATTCACACCAGAAAGAAAATATGAGGCAATCTACTTTAACTCTCTCATTTTATGGATGAGAAAATTAATGGCTGGTAAAACTGTCCTAAGACTTAGAAGTAGTTAAGAACACACCATGAATGAGAATCTGTGAAACTGAATACAAAAACTACTCAAGTAAGAATTCTGAGAGACATGAATTCTAATCCTACTTCAATCGTAGCTGAGCTACAGTCACTTAAGTGTGTTTTTTCATCTGTAAAAGAATACATTCATCTTACCACCTGGAAACTCAAAATAAAAAAGTTAATTATAAGAGGCTATACAATGTAGAGGATAGCAAAGCTACTCACAACAGTGAATGCATTCACAGAAAAGTCTAAACCCATTTAAGCACTCTAAACTTCTAAAGGTGTAGAAATTCCTGGCAAAGGATAAGGTCTTCATTAACCAATTCAGAAGCTTAAGTTGTGTCTTGACTAATTCAACATAACAGTCATAAAAAACACTACAAACCTTTTTTGTTAAATATGGAAACTATATAGACAATCTACTTCAACAAAAAACCCCAAACTCAAAGGATTCACCAGAGGAGTCCCAAAATAACTTTTGAAATAACTATTTTGTTTTCCCATCACCAATGGTGCTCAGTGTTAAGTTGCCATCCCCAAATAAAATAAATATTGCCTTTTCTCCTAGAGTCAATGTTACATCTAAATCTAAACCTAAAGAGATTTATCATTCAGGGCATGTATTCTTTACTTAATAATCCTATTTACAGGATTTTGTCTAATTTTGCATAAATTTTGTCTTAATTCCTTTGTTCTTCAGCACAGCACTCCTTAGAAAAAGAAAATTCCCACATAGCAAATGCATGGGGGGATTTTTGAAACAGAAAGTTATTTTTAATCAATTTCTGTAAATTTTTTTTAAAAAGTCTTTTCAATACTACCTAAGAATGAACCTATCTTAAACCCTGAATTATTAAATGGAAATTATAAAATGTTATGAAATAACACAGTGCCATAAAGTAAAAATAAGTCTTAAAAGTCTCAAGACTTACAGGTAGTCCAGTCTTATGAGGTTCAGCTCATTGAAATTTAAATACTAACTGCTCATCTGCTACCAGAATGGTAATAAAAGGATGAAAACAATAATCTCAGCCCATGAGAATCGAAAAGTCTAGCAGGTAAGTATACATACTTTTCATAGTGTATATATAAAATGCTAGATCACTCTGCAAGAAGAGAGTGAAGAAGATTCTGGGAAAGCTTAGGAGAAACGTCCTCTGAACTCAAAAATAACCAGTGAGGAGTCACTGGAAAAAGAGACAAAAGTATTTAAAGAACAAAGCTGAAATGTAGATGGTTTCTGTCCACTCCAATGGTGAGTTGTAAAAGATGTACTTAATAGGTCTAAAGGGCTAGAGCAGTCAAGGCCTCATAAAATTTCAAAATCAACCGTTCATATAATAGATGAAGAAAATACATACTTTTCCATCTTACATGGAATGCTCTCCAGGATTGACCATATGCTGAGCCATAAAACAAATCTCAATAAATTTCAAGACTAAAATCTTACAAAGTATGTTCTCTGACCACAATTATAAATCAAAAACAAAAAAAAAACTTAAAAAGCACCAAATAATCAGAAATTTAAAAATATATTTATAAATAAATCATGAATCAAAAAAGAAATCACAAGGGAAATATGAAATATTCTGAACTGAAAAATAACAAAAACAGGGCACATCAAAATTTCTGGGATGTAAATAAGCAGTGCTTACAGGGAACAACAGGGTCCCAAAATATATCAAGTAAAAACTGTCAAACCAAAGTGAAAAACAGGCAATTCAACAATAATTGTTGGAGACTTCAATATCCCACTTTCAATAATGGATAGAACTAGACAAAAGACCAACAAGGAAACAGAGACATAACAATTCTCTAGACGTAAGAGACATCTATAGAACACTCCACCTAACAGCAGAATATATATTTTTCTCAACTTACACATGGAACATTCCCCAAGACAGACTACATGTTAGGACACAAAACAAGTCTCAATAAATTTATAAGGACTGAAATCATACAAGTATATGGTCTCCAACCACAATGGAATGAAATTAGAAATCACAGGAAGGAAATTGGAGAAATTAACAAATATGCAGAAATTAAACAACAAACTCCCAAATAACCACTGTGTCAAAGAAGAAATCACAAGGGGAATCAGAAAATACTTCAAGACGAATGAAAACAAAAACATAACATACCAACACGTATGGGATGCCCTGAAAGCAGTGCTCAGAGGGCAATTTACAGCTGTAAATGCTTATATTAAAAAAAGACTTCAAATCAGTAACAAAATATTCCACCCTAAGAAACTAGAAAGAGAAAAGCAAATTAAATCTAAAGCAAGCAGAAGGAAGGAAATAATAAAGAATAGAGCAGAAATAAATCAAATAGATAATTAAAAAACCAAAAGACAGAAACGTCACTGACGTCAAAAGTTGGTTCTTTGAAAAGATAAACAAAATTGACAAACCTTTGGTTAGACTAGCCAAGAAAAAAAATGAGAGAGGACTCAGCCTACTAAAATCAGGAATGAAAGAAGGGACATTAATACCAACCTCACAGAAATAAAAAGGATTACAAGGGAATACTATGAACAACTGTACACCAACAAATTAGATAACCTACATGGACTGGACAAACTTCTAGAAAAACAAAACTAAAACAGACTCCAGAAAAAAAACAGAAAATCTGAAAGACTCGTAACAAGTAAAGAGACTGACTTGGTAATAAAACTTCCCACAAAGAAAAGTCCAGGAGCAGATGGCTTCACTGGTGAATTTTACCAAATGATTAAGGAAGAATTAACATCAATCCTTCTCAAATTCATTCAAAAAATTGAAGAACATCTCCCAACTCAACCTACGAAGCCAGCATTACCCTGATACCAAAGTCAAACAAAGACTCAACAAGAAAACAAGTCAATATCTCTTAGGAATATAGATGCAAATATCCTGAACAAAATAATAGCAAATTGAACCCAGCAGCTTAATAAAAGGATTATCCACCATGACCAAGTGGGATTTACCCCAGGGTGGTTTAACAAATGAAAACCAATCAATACAATACACCATATTAAAAGAATAAAGGAAAAAATCCACATGATCATCTCAATTGATACAGAAAAAGCATTTCACCAAACCCAACACCCTTTCATAACAAAAACACTCAACAAACCAGCAATAGAAGGAAACTTCTTCAACCCGATAAAGGGCATCTACAAAAACCCCACAGCTCACATTATATACTTAATAGTGAAAAACAAACGATCTCCTCCTAAGATCAAGAATAAGACAAGGTTGTCCACTCTCACCACTTTTAGACAACATTTTACTGAAAGTTCTAGCCAGGCAATTAGGCAAGAAAAAGACATAGAAGAAATCCATGTTAGAAAGGAAAAGTAAAACCATCTCTTTGCAGATGACATGATCTTGTATAAAGAATACCCATAAAAGCAAAAACTGAATAGACTTCTCACAAATAATAATGTCCAACTGAAATTCCACAACTTTATACACTATTATGACCTCAATAAAATTTTTTAAAAAAAATTCTGTTCACCCAAAGACACCAATAATAAAATCAAAAGGCACGCAACAAACTAGGAGAATATTCACAAAACATCTATGCTGCAAAGTACTTTATATGCAGAATATATGAAGAGGTTCCAAAACACAATATAAGAAACAAACAAGCCAAGAGAAAAATGAGTAAAAGATTTGGGAAGACATTTCATAAAAGCTAGATAATTGGCCACAAGCATATGAAATGATACTTAATATTATCCATCGCCAAACATTTAAGTTAAAATCACAGCACCATAGTAATCCACGTCTACTTGAATGGCAAACATTAAAAAGACAATAAATGGTAGCAAGGATGTGGAACAATGATAACTCTCATATTCTACTGGTAAGAATATAACGTTTTTGGTAAAAGTTGAGCAATTTCTAATAAACGACACCTAGCCTTTTGATCCAAGAATTTCACTTCCAACTGTTTTTTTAAATTGGGTCATAATAGTTTATAAAATTGTGAAATTTCAGCTGAACATTATTATTTGTCAGTCATCATATATATGTGCCCTGTTACCCCTTATGCCCACCCCCCAACCCTCTTCCCCTCTGATAACCACTAATCTGTTCTTTGTCCATGTGTTTGTTTATCTTCCACATATGAGTGAAATCATGCAGTGTTTGTCTTTCTCTTTCTGGCTTATTTCGCTTAACATAATATCCTCAAGGTCTATACACGATATTGCAAATGGGAGGATTTGATCTTTTTTACTGCTGAGTAGTATTACATTGTGTATATATACCACATCTTTATCCATTCATCAGTCGACGGGCACCTGGGTTGCTTCT